ATAGCTTATCAATTCAAAAGCCACCCCCTATTAATTGAAAAATACAAAAACATCAAATTAGAGTTATTCGCTATCTTATTATATAAAACTGAATGTGTCATCTCAAAATGTACACAATTTGATCTGTGGTAGAATTATAACTAATTAGATTGTAATATGCGTCCGTTAATCAACTAGATTTTAACACATCAAATAATTAAATTTTACAGTTATTATGTTTAAATAAAATTAAATTTTTTTAAAAAAAATTACGATCTTTTTTAAAATAATACTAACTATAGCGACTAATTGAGGCCCTTTAAGCCATCCAAGTCAGCGTTTTTTTAACTCCTTTCTAGAGTATATGGAGTATACCATGTGGCACAAATCTTAATCCCTCCCCTGTTTAGAGAAGTATTCTTTCTCCATGATTTATTCGTTACAGTGTCGATTCTTCTACCTTCATAGCTTCATATGTTGCCTCATCGATTTAAATTAGGTAATACCATCTCCACTCTTTTCCTTCAATTCCTCCTCGAAACGTCCGCTTGCCAATGTGTTCCTTGAAAATTGTCGATCAGTCTTGCTAGAGTGTCGTTGTTAATCCAAGTAAGGCGCTTGATGAAGTTCATGTCTTCTCATTTTATTTGGTATGGATTTTGTTTTTGTACGATCTGCTTGATTTGCTCAACACGTTCTCTACAATCTGTTAGTTTGCTGAGAAACCGAGTGATTGAATGGTTCGCAAAACCTAAATGAAACCTAATTGAACTACATTTTAGTAGTTTGGCTAAGAAAATTGACTTTCACTGATTCAAAGGAGAAAGTGAAAATAAAAGGTATGGCTGAAGGTAATAGCTCTACAAGTGGTTTGAAACTTTAACTTCTTTGCATTGTATTTGCAGGTCAAATCATTGATGGCATGGGAAAACTTGCAGATGGTTGAATACAAAACATGTATGTTTTATTCTAATCTTTTTACTAGTTTTTCTTTGTAATAGAGATGACATACTGACCACTTCAGCGTCGAATGTTGTAGATACCGCCAGCGTGATGACAGGTACTCCGTGATGCAATGGATGTCGTAGAGAATAAATCTGGAGGCATCAGATTGGGATCAAATGAGACATGAAAAACAAAACAAAAGAAGTTGGAGATCGTATTTGCCGCAGATGAATATGCTCAACTAATCTTTATCACATATACCTGAATACAGAAATCTATTGAAAACTTCAGATACGTAAAGTATCAAGGTAGGCATGAAATGTTTTCACTTCTTTATAACAATCCTTGAAAATATCATTTCTGGTAGCTTTTCGTGCCTATATTTTCTGTTCTAAAGTTGCCGACGAAACTTTAATTGAGTTCTCTTTAGTTCATCATGGTTTCCATTCACATGTTAGGAGCTTTGAAGTACAAAAATAACAACAAGGTTGAGTGCGTGGTGATGATTATCAAGTTCAAAGAAAAACTTCGAAGATTTCACGGGAGAAATAACCAGTTTACTCCCCAAAATACTAGATTGACAAGGCCAATCTATACAAGATCAACTTGATACGCAAGTTTTTGACACCCATCTTAGAATTGGTGGGTTTTCCATAGCTTATTAATTATCATCTTTGTATGAAGCCACGTTATCCATCCGGTTATATACAGTGGAGGGACATCACACTTCATTAGTTTTTTAAAATGAATATACTCTTACACATACCAAAGTAGGAGGGATGATCTGGAGTCTTTTGGCTATATATGCTTATGTGTATTTTCTTTGCTGAAGGTAATTGGAAAATTTTATTAATAAAAAAAAATTGGAAATTTTTTTTATTAATTTTCTTCTCTTATGATAGTTGTCCTTGTAGTCTATGTTTCACCCCTTCTTTGGGAAGACTTTTTTGCAGGTACAAAAATACATATGTATGGCAAGATCAAAGAAAACAAAATACTTACACTAGTGGAGGTAATTGTTCAATCTCCAACCAACATAAACTTTGGTAATTACAACCTTGATATCATCTTTGGTAGATCCTCTGTAGAAAACCAGTCTTCACATAAGTTCACGTTGTATTTTTCTGTGTGTTCTTTACACTTTGCGACAAAAACAAGTTATTCATTACCGAAAAGGTTTTCCAAGAGTTATTAGTCCGAGAAGGTTGGAAAATTTCGTTTTGTGCTTCACTCCAGTTTAAAGCAGGAATATGTGTACTATTATTCTTGTGTTTTTTCTAATTAAAAAAATTCAGTTTGTGTTTCGTGTATAAAAACTACTTTTTCACACTTGCATGTAAACTACTGGAGAAGGGAGAATTTCCAGAAGGTATGAGAAGCTCAATCCCGTAGGTGTCATGGACAATTTAGAAGATAAGAAATTCGGTTGTAATAGCGGGAAATCAGAGAGACCTACGACTATGTGTAATGAAAGCTCAGGAGGCTTCTTTGCAATGGATATATAACTCTGAATATGGAAGAAACAGAGGGTCGAGCAAAGAGATCATCCACTCAAGGTAAAGTGGTGTAAACTGAGGGAAGGTATGACCAAGTGCAATATTTCTTCTTCCTGAGTGAATGCGGAGCCTTTGGTTGGTGGAACTTAGATAATACCGGATATGCGTTATTACACGGTAGAGATGCGTATGTAGCATCCACCTCAAGAGTGGTGGCTAAGCTCAATCCCGTAGGTTTTATGGCGTGTCGTCTTCTACTCTTGGCCATTGATCTCGATAACAATAAGGTAAGAAATATGTGTACCATTATTCGGGTCTTTTTTAATTAAAAGAATTAAGCTCATCAAATGGTTGTGTTTTGTTTATAAAAGGTGAAATTTCATAATTGAGAATTTTATTTCTTCTACAACTTTTTTCCGTGTGTTCATTCTGTTTACGATTATATGTAATGATACATATTTTTGAAAAATAAACTCGAGAAACACGTTTTACCAGTGGCTATGAAATTAGCGACCGTAATAGAGGAGGAGATGTGCCGTGGAGATGTGATACGCATGAAAGAGCTTACATTAGAAAGCAAAAGAAGAGTGAAGAAGAGAATTGCACGTGAAGCTCACCTGAGGAATGAAGATAATTACTTTCTTTTATTTTACAATTGTGTTGTCAATAGTATAAATAGAAGCAAGGAGAGAAAGGGAGTGGTCATCAATTGTTTTAGGTATCTGAGAACAAACATATGAATGTGTTTGTTACGGAGAGACATTGTAATTTCTCTCTGGATCCGGGAACAATTGGTGTAATCTTTCACAATAATCAATAAAGCTTGAGTTTCCAGAGCTTTGTTCTTATCAAAATGGTGTGCGCATTGAAAACATAAAGTAAGAGTAAACATTGGTTGTTCTTGATCTTGGTAATCGAAGTTATAATATAAGTCCCTAAAAATTCAATTTTTCCTACTCAAACTCCTAGAAAACAAAAATTAGGAGTAAAAATTAATTTTAGACAGAATTTCGGAGCATCAAATTCTTAGTAACAGTAACGATCTTCAAGCTTAATGCTAACATTAACAATCTTCAATCTCAATGCATATAATTTTACTAAACTTGAATATAGATTACAAATTCATAAGAGTAACTAAGTAAGTTGATGTACATGTTTGTTTGGTAAAAATGGCAGGAATCTAAAGACCGGTGGATGCGGTACAATTTGCCATAACTACGAAACTACCTAAAGTCTATATAAATGAAGATTTTAAAATATATATAATTATTTTGGACATTAAAATAGGAGTAAGTTTTAATTTCTAATAGTTTTCGGTTAGTCTTTTGATATGGATTCA